ATATATATATATATATATATATATATATAATTGAATGTCGTGACATGTTTTCTGCATTAAATTAAAAAAATTCACTCTTTAGGAAAATATATTCCAATTTTCCTCAATCAGAATAATTTATAAAAAACAGAAATAATGTTCTCTAAATTATTATTTTTAACCAGTAAATAAAATATAAAAATAAAAATAAACATTTCAAATTGTAAATTTTGAAAAATCTTAGTTTCACACCATATCCTCTTTAGACGAAAATATAAAAAAAAAATATTATTATTTCTATGGTTGATTGATGTGAAATTGTGTAATAATTAACACAATTTTAAATAAGTTTTACGTGTTTAATTTGATATTAAAGAATTGATCATTGATATAAAATGAATTTTGATTTAAGAGTATGTTTAGCTAAATTTTATATTATATAATGAATTGTATTTTGTATGTGGTCAACTCTCTTGGTGTTAGTTATTGACAAGACTTCCAGTGAACCATAAGTTACATCTGTTTGAATTTTGAAGCTTTTAAATTGAGTCACACTTGACAGGCATGATATTATTTATGGTCATAAAAATTTAAAATTTTACAGTCATTAAAATAAACTTTTAAAACATAACATTAAAGATTTAATTTGAAATTGATTCAAGACTAAGCATGATAAACTAGGCCTATTTTAAAAACTTAATTAAATTCTTTAGAATAAAATAAAAAACAAAATGAAAGTTAATAAATTACGTTAGGATATAACTGAAATATAATTTATTTTTCACGAGTTTCAAAAGATATGAGCACAACCCTGGATAAAGCCGTCCCTTTGTTAGATGGCCACCACAGATTTTACTTCACAACTTCATTTTGATTGATTTGTCATAGTTTTATGAAAAAGCAAGATGGATGTGTTGTGTGGATGATAATCTGTTGAGAAAAAAAGGGTTATTTGGTCCCAAAATCAATTATGTGATACAGACAGAACAGAGTATCATTATAAAAATGAAGCCAAAGATACTAAACTCAAAGACAAAGCTGCTACTGTTGGGATTACCTAAACCTAACATCGCCCACGTGGACTCTGTTCTGGATTACAAGATCAAGATCAAGGACTTCGAGTCGTAAAGATTAAGGAAGGAGTTCGCTCACTCAAATCAAATGAGGCAGCTTAGGACAAACATCATACATAGTATATATGCATACACATAAGGTTGAAATTAAAATCCAAATCAAATGAACCAGTTTCCACTTTTTTCTTTCTTACTATTAGGCATTCATTCGTTTGTTTTGCCCAATTTCGCACCATATTTCTCTCTCCTCTTAACTGTTCATTATTCAATATTATTATTACCCAAATTCAACTTTGATGATAGTTGAGAGTCCTAATTTGCGTGACCTAATTCGCTGCCACCCAGAAACAAGCGCGGTTGGAATTGATGTCTGGTTGTTCCGAGGAGGAGGGGGTTTCGTTCTCGGACGCCGATCGTCGCGGATACGAAGGAGGCAGTGACGACGATTCCGAAATGGGGAAGAGTCAACTTCGCAGAAGACGAAGGGTTAGTGATTTTGGGAAGGTGGTTGTGCATCAATTCGCGAAAGCGAAGAAGCAAATACGCAGAGTCAGAAGCAGAAAGAGTCTTCTTGCGAAATCGCGTCAGGGGAACGAAGAAGGTAAGGTGATTGTCGTCGACGGTGATAGTGGAGGAAGAAGGAGAGGGAATGGGTGTGGGTTTTGTTTTTCGCGGCCCAAAGTGTTGGAATCACCTAATGAGTCTCCCACGAGTGATCCCAATGACCCTAATTTCACTCAGGCCATGTTGAGAACTTTGATGGATAAGAATGATTTCTATTCCAAAGAATGCAACCCTCATTTGGATTAGTTACTATTTTAGATTCCTTGCGTTCGATTGGGTTTTAGGATAATCTGCTCAATATGAAGTGGTGTAAGTAAAATGATGAAATTGTGACATTATGATGGCTCGTAAGGGAGGTAATTGGATTATCAATAAAAGTGGTAGAGATGTTACTTGAGAGGCTGGAACTGTGTAATGTCAGACCCTCATTTGCATTCTTGTTCATTTAGAGAAATGTGGTGTAAGAACTTATAGACAGGAAACTTGCTGCAATTCAATGCTTATGGATTCAAGAGTTGGAACGGGTTAATATGGATTGGAGAATGGATGATTGCTTGATCAAGTGCTGATGTTGGAGAGGTTGGTGAAATTTGGATTCTTTGATATTCTGGGGGTTTCTACTTGTCCCAATTTGGAGAAGTGGTGTACATATCAATACTGAAATTTTTTGAAGGCTGTTATGTGCATAATCTCTTTCTAGCCGTCAGCACTTTTTGATTGGTTTTCTCGTGCGTGCAAATTTTTGGTTCAGCTTGTTAGAGGTCTTGAGTGGTTGCAATTTATAGAATTTTTTTGGCATTGCAACCTGAGATAAATTGTTTTGAAAATCAGTTTGTTCTGATTTTATTATAACTCATGTCCTCATATGTATTTGATGAGATTTGGAAATGACAATGGTTCCCATTCTTGAGTCAGCATATATCTGGAAAATTTCAGAGAACAAATTTAAAAGTCATTTTGTATTTGAAGTCGGGAAAATTTTGTAAGATAATAGATTGGTCTGCATATGTTTGTCGATGATGAAGTATTTTAATAGGCTTCATATGTTTGTCACTTATTCTTGCTAGGCTGCTGGCATCGGTTGATTTCCATGATAAGCAATATGCATAATCAGTATGCATTTCAATCTTTCTCTTCAAGATCTTTTCTACATTCGACAATTTTATGCTCTCTTCTTTTCATTTGGATGCTTAAAGTCCAATTTCAAGGGAGTTCAGAACATTTATAATTAATGGGTTCAATTAACATTTATATTGTTGTTTCAAATTACTTTCAATGTTACGAAGGTTTTTTCAACATCTCCATATCATATTTAATATTTTATTTTGTTACTTCATCTCAAGAAAATTTCGTTCTTGCCAGAAAAATTCTTTGCTTCAATTTATTCCCAGCCAAAAGCAAAGTTATAGCAGTCTCTATGGGATTTTTCATGATGCAGGAGGGAAACCCTTTACTTTTTGTGGTTTTGTTTGTGTAGCACCGTGCTGTTTCCATATTGACTAAAGAAATTGAAAGTGAGGGTTGGTAATGCGTTGTGGTTTTGATCCAGTGGCTTCTGTACGAAACCTGAGTTCGAGGTACACATTTTGCTATGGTCCAGCTGTTGAGTTATTGTGTTAGATGTGTGATCTAGGTCTACTTATGGTCCCAAACTTGGTAGTGGAAATCATGTTGGTACACCTTCGTCTTGGCTGCGACTTGTATCTTTGACCCATAGCAAGGCTAAATTCCTTATATGACTTATATTTTAGTTTTTAACATTCTACATGAGATAGAAAACAAGAAAACCAAGATAAAGAAGAAGAAAAAGTTAGTTTTCTTTGTTGATCTCTCTTTCTTGTGTTTGTTGGTGGCATTTAATCACTATTTTTTCTGGCAATCTATTTCATTCTCATCACTAATTCAGAGGCTGATGCCCTGTAATGTACTCGTTATTTATTTATTTGGGGAAGGAGGGATGGATGTTCGCCTCACTACTGCGCTCGTATTGAAATTTGTTTGTCTAGCTTTTATTGTTCAGATTTTTATTTTCTTAAAGAATCAGTTGTGCAATGGATGAAGGAGAAATTGATGCTTTACAATATTTGACAAGGACAAAGAAAGGTTGTGAACTGCCTACAAGGTGTCTTACCTGAAAAAAATGACTTGTGATTGATGATTTGCTAATTTTGTAACAAATGGTAAAATAAAAATATCAACATCCCGTGTCATACGATTACTCTATTATGCATGCATAGTTTCATGTTGCATGATTATTGTGGGGTATCTGGTTAATTTAGTTCTGGCACAATCTATTTTTGAATGGGAAATGTTAGTTTGCTTAAATATTCTCGTACTAAGTAAGGTTAAATGTTATCATAAGTTGAGTTCATCTGCCAAAGAAAACCAGTTATGCTGTAATATCACATAGTTCTGATTCTCAGGCAAACTTGCAGGTTTTGACTAATAGATAAGAAATATGGTATCCTTATCCAAACAATAGAGAATTTCTACTTATGAGATTCTTTTATCCCTAAAGCTTTTGCTTTTGGTTACAAACAGAGGAATCCCAAAAGCAAAAGCGTGTTATTCCAATAAATGGTCGCAAGGCTGGAACACAATTCTGGAAACAGATTAACCGAGCTCAGCACATCACCTCGTTAAAGGAACATGTTTTTTGGAAAAGAAAAAGAATATCTGGAATTCTGGGAGGCAAAATGTTCTGAATCAAATACCATTGTTATCAAAGAGAAGATAACTGCAGTGGTGAATGGTCACACTACCGTAACAGCAAGAGCAATTAACTTGATTATCTGTTTGGTTTGTTTCTGCGAAATGTTTTTGTGCTATTTACCTTTTCCTTAAATAATATAGTGATGGAAACCAAATTGATACCGGAACAAGGTGGTCTGAATATGAATAATGTTCTTTCGATTCAAATTATAAGCCACATAACATACTGCACCACCAAAACTAGTTGTAATTGATAAACGTGATGAAGTTAATTATTTGTTAGCATTGATGTTTTTCCCGACCTCACAATGTCGATGCAACCAACAATGTGTCATATATTAATGTCAATGGCACCAACATTTATGTCGACGTTGCTATGTAATTAACATATATAGGAAGCTTAGAACAATAAGAGCTTTAAAGCTTCAACCATAGTAGATATAACAACAGCTCTACCATCAATAACTCATCTCCTCAGCACTGCACTTGTGGGCTTCTGAGAAAATAAACTCTTGGAGGGGTGTGGGGAAAGCTCAAGAATTAGTGGATGATTTGAAAGACGAACTAATAAATCAATAAAGCAGATGTTGAGTTTGCATGTGGGTAGGGTGAGGACCATGGTGGAGTAGGGAATAGCAAGCAAAGAGAACTAATTAAATAGGTTACAATTTTAAATAGATGTCTGTATGCTATCAAACAGATGTTTCTTTCAAAAAAAAAAACTAGGTTACAATTTTAAAGTTTTATTAAAGAACTAAGCTAATTTTCTTAAGGATTATTTTTAAAATTATATATCATAAACTTTTTTTTAATGAAAGTATCTTAAAATGATATAAGTTTGAATATTATAAAAAAGTAACAAATAAAATATCAATTGACCTACTTTTAAATATAGACATAATAAAAACTGTAGTTTATCCATGATGGGTTCAAATGAAAAGCCATTGGTCGTGTTGTGTGTAGTTGATTAGAAACCTTTCTAACTTCCAACGCTGTAGCTTGGAAATCGCAAGTACCACCTCATGACAGCAACCCTACGTGCACATTACGCTATCATTGAATCAACCATCTTCCAATAAAGATCCACTTTACTGATAAGGCCAAACCTCCACTACACAGATGCTTCTGTCAATTTACCATCCTTAATTTCAGCATATCATATCACTAAAATACAGATCAATTCTTGTTAATCCTCTAATAAACCTAATTTGAGTATATATATATATATATATATTACTAAAATAGGTGTGTTTCAAGCATGATCATTTCTTGAGAATGTATACAAATTTTGTCTTATAAAGTATTATTCATTTAATAAAATTAAAATAGTATCTTGTTATTATTATGTTGACTTGGTTTCGAAAGGTACACGTACGCTTTCATTTCTCAGCCGTCATAATAATAACAATTAAGTAAAAAAGAATCAAACCTTAACAAGTATAAAGGTGTTGTAAATAACTTACACATGCCTGTACTTTCCATCATTTGATTATCGTTGGTCTGAGTCAGCAGATGCAGTGGAAATGTGGCTGCTTGTGGTATTCTTACCTTTTTTGTAGTTAAAAGTTGTTCAAAGGCATAAGCTTCGGGAGCTGCACGTGACACCCATAACTCTTTTTCTTGTTGCTATTCGCTATGTATGTTTCCTCTTCTACGGATGGGGTTGCTACGCTATCCAATGAAAAAAATGAGTGACCCAGAAAATAGTTTCCATCTAGTAGCGTAATTAACCTTTATTAGAAGGAAGCTTGCTTAATTAGTTATACAAACAAAATAAGGTTTTTGGGTATTTTCTTCTCATAAATTTGTATCCAACAATCAAACAAAAAGGAAAGTCAGAGTTGTAGGTGATTAAGCAGATCGTGATAAGAGCAGCAAAAGTTGCTTATTTCTATTTATAGATGCAATCATCATCACCCGTCCCTTACTTAGAAACCAATCCATTATTTTATTTTATAGCAGTAATATTATAATAAGCTATATGATTGCATGATAATATTAAATATAAGTAAGCACCAGAAAGAGAGAGAGAGAGAGAGAGAGAGAGAGAGAGAAAGAGAGAGAGTAGTCTTAAATTGTTATTTTTACTATGGCATGGCATTATCTACTGTGTCTCAGTTCTAACTGCCGAGTTCTGTGAGCTTGGAGGGGTTCCCACTTTCCACTTGTGTCCCAAAGGTCGGTGGTTAAGATTTTCTTCTTCTTCTTCTTGTTCATCTACAGATGCAGCTAAACAGTAAGTAGCTATCGGGGATTTATATTCCCCAGTTGCTTTCTGCTTCTATTCAGACCTTCTCTCTGCTCATTGGTTGGAATCAGATTTTTCCTTGCAAGGTGGGTTTCTTCTTCTGCATTTTCTTTCTATTCAGTTCATGATTGTTGCTTCTTCTGGATACGTTGGTTATTATTCCTTATTCTCCTAAATTTGCTTCTTCCTTTTTTTTAACGTTTCTGGTGTATGTACTCCTTCCTGGAAAGGAAAATTCTTTTTTACCGTACTCTAGATGTTTCTTCTGTCGTTTCCGGGTCAATTAAGACACCGTACCATTCACTGTTCCTGCAAATTAAAGTGGAAAAAAATAAACAGAAATTTGCTAAAAATGAAATAAAGTTATGTTTTGCTGAGTGGAGTGTGTTTAGTTGAGTTTATACCAGTGAAATTCTTTGGAGAATTTATGGCCTCTTACCGTGAGCATCAGATAGCAGCGGAAGAGTGCTAAGGATAAAAACAAATAATACTGTTATTATTTGAACTTTGGATATATAGTAGTTAAGCAATATGATATGCCTTTCAAAGTTTGTCAATGTTATAGTTTCTAAAAATTCACTTTCTCTTCTTGAATTGTGATAGTGAGTAAGGATGATGTCATTTGACAAGGTCCATAGTAGCTTTGCATCTCTTTTAGAGCAATCAAGCAGATTCCATTCTTCCTTGCGAGATATTAACTTAGTGATTCTGTGCTTGTGGTTTATTTCAAGTGCAGTTGAAGTGACAATGTCCTCCTCAAGGCCTAGTCAATCGTCCAGCAATAATTCTGGCAGATCAAGATCATCAAGACGCAGTGCTAGGGTTCTTGCTCAGACAACTTTAGACGCAAAACTGCATGCAACTTTCGAGGAATCCGGTAGTTCTTTTAACTACTCCAATTCAGTGAGATTGTCCCCTGGCACAGGCACTGCCAGTGGTGATCATCAACCAAGGTCTGATGAAGTAACAACTGCTTACCTCCATCAGTTACAGAAAAGCAAGCTTATCCAACCATTTGGGTGCTTGCTAGCGTTAGATGAGAAAACATTTAGGGTCATTGCTTACAGTGAGAATGCACCTGAAATGCTCACCATGGTTAGCCAGGCTGTCCCCAGTGTTGGTGACCACCCTGCTCTGGGAATTGGCACTGACATCAGAACTATTTTCACTTCCCCGNTATTGAAATTTGTTTGTCTAGCTTTTATTGTTCAGATTTTTATTTTCTTAAAGAATCAGTTGTGCAATGGATGAAGGAGAAATTGATGCTTTACAATATTTGACAAGGACAAAGAAAGGTTGTGAACTGCCTACAAGGTGTCTTACCTGAAAAAAATGACTTGTGATTGATGATTTGCTAATTTTGTAACAAATGGTAAAATAAAAATATCAACATCCCGTGTCATACGATTACTCTATTATGAATGCATAGTTTCATGTTGCATGATTATTGTGGGGTATCTGGTTAATTTAGTTCTGGCACAATCTATTTTTGAATGGGAAATGTTAGTTTGCTTAAATATTCTCGTACTAAGTAAGGTTAAATGTTATCATAAGTTGAGTTCATCTGCCAAAGAAAACCAGTTATGCTGTAATATCACATAGTTCTGATTCTCAGGCAAACTTGCAGGTTTTGACTAATAGATAAGAAATATGGTATCCTTATCCAAACAATAGAGAATTTCTACTTATGAGATTCTTTTATCCCTAAAGCTTTTGCTTTTGGTTACAAACAGAGGAATCCCAAAAGCAAAAGCGTGTTATTCCAATAAATGGTCGCAAGGCTGGAACACAATTCTGGAAACAGATTAACCGAGCTCAGCACATCACCTCGTTAAAGGAACATGTTTTTTGGAAAAGAAAAAGAATATCTGGAATTCTGGGAGGCAAAATGTTCTGAATCAAATACCATTGTTATCAAAGAGAAGATAACTGAAGTGGTGAATGGTCACACTACCGTTAACAGCAAGAGCAATTAACTTGATTATCTGTTTGGTTTGTTTCTGCGAAATGTTTTTGTGCTATTTACCTTTTCCTTAAATAATATAGTGATGGAAACCAAATTGATACCGGAACAAGGTGGTCTGAATATGAATAATGTTCTTTCGATTCAAATTATAAGCCACATAACATACTGCACCACCAAAACTAGTTGTAATTGATAAACGTGATGAAGTTAATTATTTGTTAGCATTGATGTTTTTCCCGACCTCACAATGTCGATGCAACCAACAATGTGTCATATATTAATGTCAATGGCACCAACATTTATGTCGACGTTGCTATGTAATTAACATATATAGGAAGCTTAGAACAATAAGAGCTTTAAAGCTTCAACCATAGTAGATATAACAACAGCTCTACCATCAATAACTCATCTCCTCAGCACTGCACTTGTGGGCTTCTGAGAAAATAAACTCTTGGAGGGGTGTGGGGAAAGCTCAAGAATTAGTGGATGATTTGAAAGACGAACTAATAAATCAATAAAGCAGATGTTGAGTTTGCATGTGGGTAGGGTGAGGACCATGGTGGAGTAGGGAATAGCAAGCAAAGAGAACTAATTAAANGAGAACAAATTTAAAAGTCATTTTGTATTTGAAGTCGGGAAAATTTTGTAAGATAATAGATTGGTCTGCATATGTTTGTCGATGATGAAGTATTTTAATAGGCTTCATATGTTTGTCACTTATTCTTGCTAGGCTGCTGGCATCGGTTGATTTCCATGATAAGCAATATGCATAATCAGTATGCATTTCAATCTTTCTCTTCAAGATCTTTTCTACATTCGACAATTTTATGCTCTCTTCTTTTCATTTGGATGCTTAAAGTCCAATTTCAAGGGAGTTCAGAACATTTATAATTAATGGGTTCAATTAACATTTATATTGTTGTTTCAAATTACTTTCAATGTTACGAAGGTTTTTTCAACATCTCCATATCATATTTAATATTTTATTTTGTTACTTCATCTCAAGAAAATTTCGTTCTTGCCAGAAAAATTCTTTGCTTCAATTTATTCCCAGCCAAAAGCAAAGTTATAGCAGTCTCTATGGGATTTTTCATGATGCAGGAGGGAAACCCTTTACTTTTTGTGGTTTTGTTTGTGTAGCACCGTGCTGTTTCCATATTGACTAAAGAAATTGAAAGTGAGGGTTGGTAATGCGTTGTGGTTTTGATCCAGTGGCTTCTGTACGAAACCTGAGTTCGAGGTACACATTTTGCTATGGTCCAGCTGTTGAGTTATTGTGTTAGATGTGTGATCTAGGTCTACTTATGGTCCCAAACTTGGTAGTGGAAATCATGTTGGTACACCTTCGTCTTGGCTGAGACTTGTATCTTTGACCCATAGCAAGGCTAAATTCCTTATATGACTTATATTTTAGTTTTTAACATTCTACATGAGATAGAAAACAAGAAAAACAAGATAAAGAAGAAGAAAAAGATAGTTTTCTTTGTTGATCTCTCTTTCTAGTGTTTGTTGGTAGCATTTAATCACTATTTTTTCTGGCAATCTATTTCATTCTCATCACTAATTCAGAGGCTGATGCCCTGTAATGTACTCGTTATTTATTTATTTGGGGAAGGAGGGATGGATGTTCGCCTCACTACTGCGCTCATATTGAAATTTGTTTGTCTAGCTTTTATTGTTCAGATTTTTATTTTCTTAAAGAATCAGTTGTGCAATGGATGAAGGAGAAATTGATGCTTTACAATATTTGACAAGGACAAAGAAAGGTTGTGAACTGCCTACAAGGTGTCTTACCTGAAAAAAATGACTTGTGATTGATGATTTGCTAATTTTGTAACAAATGGTAAAATAAAAATATCAACATCCCGTGTCATACGATTACTCTATTATGAATGCATAGTTTCATGTTGCATGATTATTGTGGGGTATCTGGTTAATTTAGTTCTGGCACAATCTATTTTTGAATGGGAAATGTTAGTTTGCTTAAATATTCTCGTACTAAGTAAGGTTAAATGTTATCATAAGTTGAGTTCATCTGCCAAAGAAAACCAGTTATGCTGTAATATCACATAGTTCTGATTCTCAGGCAAACTTGCAGGTTTTGACTAATAGATAAGAAATATGGTATCCTTATCCAAACAATAGAGAATTTCTACTTATGAGATTCTTTTATCCCTAAAGCTTTTGCTTTTGGTTACAAACAGAGGAATCCCAAAAGCAAAAGCGTGTTATTCCAATAAATGGTCGCAAGGCTGGAACACAATTCTGGAAACAGATTAACCGAGCTCAGCACATCACCTCGTTAAAGGAACATGTTTTTTGGAAAAGAAAAAGAATATCTGGAATTCTGGGAGGCAAAATGTTCTGAATCAAATACCATTGTTATCAAAGAGAAGATAACTGCAGTGGTGAATGGTCACACTACCGTAACAGCAAGAGCAATTAACTTGATTATCTGTTTGGTTTGTTTCTGCGAAATGTTTTTGTGCTATTTACCTTTTCCTTAAATAATATAGTGATGGAAACCAAATTGATACCGGAACAAGGTGGTCTGAATATGAATAATGTTCTTTCGATTCAAATTATAAGCCACATAACATACTGCACCACCAAAACTAGTTGTAATTGATAAACGTGATGAAGTTAATTATTTGTTAGCATTGATGTTTTTCCCGACCTCACAATGTCGATGCAACCAACAATGTGTCATATATTAATGTCAATGGCACCAACATTTATGTCGACGTTGCTATGTAATTAACATATATAGGAAGCTTAGAACAATAAGAGCTTTAAAGCTTCAACCATAGTAGATATAACAACAGCTCTACCATCAATAACTCATCTCCTCAGCACTGCACTTGTGGGCTTCTGAGAAAATAAACTCTTGGAGGGGTGTGGGGAAAGCTCAAGAATTAGTGGATGATTTGAAAGACGAACTAATAAATCAATAAAGCAGATGTTGAGTTTGCATGTGGGTAGGGTGAGGACCATGGTGGAGTAGGGAATAGCAAGCAAAGAGAACTAATTAAATAGGTTACAATTTTAAATAGATGTCTGTATGCTATCAAACAGATGTTTCTTTCAAAAAAAAAAACTAGGTTACAATTTTAAAGTTTTATTAAAGAACTAAGCTAATTTTCTTAAGGATTATTTTTAAAATTATATATCATAAACTTTTTTTTAATGAAAGTATCTTAAAATGATATAAGTTTGAATATTATAAAAAAGTAACAAATAAAATATCAATTGACCTACTTTTAAATATAGACATAATAAAAACTGTAGTTTATCCATGATGGGTTCAAATGAAAAGCCATTGGTCGTGTTGTGTGTAGTTGATTAGAAACCTTTCTAACTTCCAACGCTGTAGCTTGGAAATCGCAAGTACCACCTCATGACAGCAACCCTACGTGCACATTACGCTATCATTGAATCAACCATCTTCCAATAAAGATCCACTTTACTGATAAGGCCAAACCTCCACTACACAGATGCTTCTGTCAATTTACCATCCTTAATTTCAGCATATCATATCACTAAAATACAGATCAATTCTTGTTAATCCTCTAATAAACCTAATTTGAGTATATATATATATATATATATTACTAAAATAGGTGTGTTTCAAGCATGATCATTTCTTGAGAATGTATACAAATTTTGTCTTATAAAGTATTATTCATTTAATAAAANAAGGGTTAGTGATTTTGGGAAGGTGGTTGTGCATCAATTCGCGAAAGCGAAGAAGCAAATACGCAGAGTCAGAAGCAGAAAGAGTCTTCTTGCGAAATCGCGTCAGGGGAACGAAGAAGGTAAGGTGATTGTCGTCGACGGTGATAGTGGAGGAAGAAGGAGAGGGAATGGGTGTGGGTTTTGTTTTTCGCGGCCCAAAGTGTTGGAATCACCTAATGAGTCTCCCACGAGTGATCCCAATGACCCTAATTTCACTCAGGCCATGTTGAGAACTTTGATGGATAAGAATGATTTCTATTCCAAAGAATGCAACCCTCATTTGGATTAGTTACTATTTTAGATTCCTTGCGTTCGATTGGGTTTTAGGATAATCTGCTCAATATGAAGTGGTGTAAGTAAAATGATGAAATTGTGACATTATGATGGCTCGTAAGGGAGGTAATTGGATTATCAATAAAAGTGGTAGAGATGTTACTTGAGAGGCTGGAAC